TATGGAGCCTGCTTCCTTCCTCTCTCTCTGCCTGCCTCTCTGCCTACTTGTGATCTCTGTCAAATAAATAAATAAAATCTAAAAAAAAAAAACCAAAAACAAAACCTAAATGTGAAAAGTTAAAAAAAAAGGTACTTCTTAGGTAACTTTTTTTTTTTTTTTTTTTTTTTTTAGTTCCTGCATCTGTCTTGAACTCTTTTTTGTTAGTGTTGTTGTCACATTAACTTGAGACTTTGTGGTGCCTGGCTGCCTAAGTCCATAGAGCATGTAACTTACGATCTCAGGGTTGTGAGTTCAAGCCCTGTGTTGGGTGTAGAGCTTACTTAAAAATTTAACAACAAAATTAAATTGAGACTTTTAGATAATTTCTTGGGTGTCATCCCCCTTGCCCCTCGTTAGAGTTTGTTCATCTCTTTCCAGTGTTTGTGTGTGTCTTTCTGGGTGGACTGGAGCAGGGACTAAATTGGATTTCTTATTCCTAAATTTCAGCACAATGCGATACCGATAGTACTCACTAATGAATTGTTGAATGATTTAACGTGAAATAAAAAATCAAATGCTGCCACCCCAGAGGAGAAGAGGGAAGGTTTGGGAATGGGACACAAAAGTCAGATTAATCCTTCTTCTAATTTGTTGTGGTATGGTTGTAGTGTAGGAATGTAGGTGAGAGGTTTGCTGGGTTGAGGTCTGGAGTCATGGCCAAGAAAGATTATTGAGATGTCCTTGGTGCAAAATGGTGGTTTTTTTAAAGAATGGGGACAGGATCCATGGACAGGAAGAGCTGCTGCACTAGGGTTGTAAGGAGTGGCTGATTATATACTTGGGAGTTGGGGGAGGCAAGGAAAAAGGAAGATGTCCAAGATGACTTTCCTATGCTCCTGGAGGCCTTGCTAATTTCAAGCTGTGGTGGTTTTTCCTTCCAGTAAAGGGTTAACATTAAGATAGCGGGGAGCTTCCTGGAAGAATGTGAGACTTAACTCCACCCAGGAGTGGGGGTGAGGGCCGGGGTTGCAGGGTGTTAGCTTATGCTTTGTCTTCAGCTAGCCTTCTGCTCCCTCATCAATACCAGAGTGAAACTTCAAACAAGTGGGTCAGAGTTAGAATGAAACAGGCTTTAGTTTAGTTCATGGTAAGGAAAACCTTCTGACAATTCAGTCTTAAGAGGAATTGTTTGTTTGTTTGTTTGTTTGTTTCTTTCTTCCTTTCCTTTGAGCTCTTGGGAATGATCTGCTCATCTTCACTCAATTACTGCCTTCCACACTCCTATATTTTAATGGAAGGTCTCCTAGAGTACATGGGGAGAATTCGTGTGGTGAAAGAATTAATTCAGAAATCAAGCAGACCTGAGCTTTTGTTCTGGGGCTTGTCACTTAGCACCTGAACCTTAGCCAAATTACTTTAAGCATAATTTCCTCATTTGTGATAATAGAATTATTAGCAGCTAATAACTTCTTTATACTCCTTACTTTGCACCAGTCCTTTGCCCCTTAAGTGGATTATCTCATTTAATCCTCACACCCATTGCGGGAGATAGATACTGTTATCACCACTCTAACCCCTTTTAAGGAGAGGAGAAGAATTCAGAGCTGTTAAGTAATTTACCCAAATTCATTCAGCTAGTATGGGGTGGATCTGGGGATTCAAGACCAAGCATTTAGTCCTATTACATTATATACATAGTTTCTATAAAAGTGAGCTGTTGCCGTGCATAAAGTCTGACAAATAGTGGGAGCTCAGTGAGTGTTCATTGCCACTCTGCCTTTCTTTTTGTTTGGCATCACTTTTTTTTTTTTTTTTTTTTTTTTTTTTTTTTTTTTTAATTATTCCCACAACCATTTGGGGGGGGGTTTTTAAAACCCCAAAAAAAAGTGTCGGTTTGTTCTTACGTCCCGCTTGGCGACTCTTGGCATTTTTTT